TTTTTTGGCGGAGACTCTCTGTCCCCCAGGCTGGAGTGCAGTGCAACCTTCACTCCCGGCTAATTTTTGTATTTTTAGTAGAGACGGGGTTTCACCATGTTGACCAGGCTGGTCTTTAACTCCTGGCCTCAGGTGATCCTCCCACCTTGGCCTCCCAAAGTGCTGGGATTTCAGGCGTGAGCCCCCATGCCTGGCCTGAGCTGACATTTCTCACCCCCTCCAGGCCCTGTACACAGTAGGTGCTCCCTAGAGGCTTTCTGCTCGCCAGCCCCCAATTCCTCCCCTCCCTCTTGTCTTCATCCCCCTTCAAACACGTTTCACTCTCCCACCCCAAAACTGCTGGTCCAGGTCACGGACTGCCTCCGCAGGCCGGCGTGAGGGTCCATTCTCCGCCCTCCTCTGGCTGACCTCAAGGCAGCATCTGCCGCAGTCCCCTCTGCCGTCCTCGAAGAAGCCTTGACCTGCATCCGGGACCCCAGATGCACCTGGTTCTCTTCCTCTCATCCCAGCTTCTGATATTCAGGCTCCCCCAGCTTCATTGACGACTCTAAACACCCGCTGTGTGCCAGCAACACCCATATCCCCTTCTGCAGCCAGACCTGGCCTCCGACCCCAGCCTCGCCCTCCTGGTCCCCCCTGGCCTCAGCCTGCCCATCTCAGGCCGTGGGGCCCACTCTCCACCCAGCCGCCTCTTCCCACCCCAGCTCCTCAAATCCATCAGCAGCTCCTGCAGCCTCTGCTCCCAGACGGGGCTGGCCACGACCCCCTGTTCTCACCTGTGCCATCCCGGGCACACCCCCTGGCCCTCAGGAACCCCTGCTGCCTCCTCCCCGCCTTCCTACCACCTACCCCATCCCCGCAGCAGTCAGGGGTGGCTTTCCCCACCTTCCCTCCCACGGGGGTTAAACCCCTCCCATGACTCACCCCAGGCCCCCTCTGACCTCCTCTCCACCCCCCCCCCACATACCATGTCACTTGCTCCACCACCCAGAGCTCCTGACTGTCCCTTAGTCCCTTATTTTAGCCTCTGGGACCTGAGCTGCCTGTCTCTCTTTTTCATTTTTTGTTTTTTTAGGTTTTGTTTGTTTGTTTTTGAGAGAATCTTGCTCTGTCGCCCAGGCTGGAGTGTAGCAGTGCAGTCTTGGCTCACTGCAACCTCCACCTCCCAGGTGCAAGCGATTCTTATGTCTGTCTCTCAAGTAGCTGGAATTTCAGGCACCCGCCACCGCGCGCCCGGCTAATTTTTGTATTTTTACTAGAGACAGAGTTTCACCATGTTGCCCAGGCTGGTTTCAAACTCCTGACCTCAGAAGATCTGCCTGCCTCAGCCTCCCAGAGTGCTGGGATCCCAGGCATGAGCTGCAGCCCCGGCCTGTCCTTCTCTTCAATGAGGCCCTTACTGACATCCCGAAAACCACACCACCCACCGGGGCTATCTGTGGTGGGCCTGGGCTATTTTCTCCAACGGTCCAGATGAGAAGGTGGGATTCTATACTCCGCGGGCTGCCTTAACCGCTGGGCTGGGCCTGGCTGGGTTGTTCACAGCTTTGCACAGAGTAGGTGCTCAGTAAATGGCATATGGGTGGCTCTGCTGTGACATGGTACTGGCTGGAGGGCAGATTGAGTTGGACCGGCAACGCCCCGTATGTCCCCAGCAGACCTCTCTCTCTGTGATCAGCGCTGTAAACACCCGCTGTGCCAACGACATACATGTGGGACAGCAGAGTGGGCTTCTTGGAGGATGGGGTGCTCAGGCTGAGCCTGGGTGGAGCTCAGGGAGCCAAAGGGCAGTACCCCACCCTTCCTTTAGTGCCCCAGCCCCTCAGCCCGCCCGCCAGAAGCTGGTGGAGCCCAGAACCCCACGGCCTGGTCTCATCCCTGTGTGGGTGGGCACGGGGCGGCGCACAGACACCCAGTGGGAAATGGCGGGAAAGGGTGGGGTGGGGAGAGTCCCGGGGTGCCCCTCGCATTGCTGGTCCGCGCAGAGTGGATTCCAGATGGAAGGCTCTCGGTGGAGACCCCTGCCGGCCCCACAGCTGGGATGGGGAAACTGAGGCCGGAGACGGTGGGGCTGCGGCTGCGAGGGAGAGGGACCGCCTGGACCCGGGTCTGGTTCTGAAGCCCGGCTGGCAGCCCCGGGGCCCGGCAGGGAGGGCGGGAGGCGGGTGGGGCGCGTCCCCTGGTGACAGCAGCGCCCGGGAATGCGCCAGCTGGGAGGGTCTCTCCACCCCCCGCGCGCGGCCCCCGGAGCCGAGCTTCTCCCAGTGCGCGGGGGCCCTGTGCTGGGGGTGGCCGGGACCTGGGGCGGGGAACCCCCGGGTGGGAGCCCCAGGCGCGCGAGGGTCCCCATCCACGAGTGGGGCGACCCCCCCCGCAGGAGGGGTGGGGGGCAGGACCAGGGGAGGGGCTGTGACCGGGGACGGGAACCCCGGCGCGGACGCAATCCAGGCGTCGGCGGGTGGGGGCAGCGCCGGGGACTCCCAGGCCCAGGGCGGGGTGATCTCGGTTCGCGCACATTCCCGGGCCCTGAGAGCGGCGCCCGGAATAGCAGCCCCGGGGCAGAGCGGGCGGTCAGTCCCCGCGCCGCGCCTCCGCCCGAGCGTGCCAAGGTCACCGTGGCCGGGCGCTGCACAGCAGCCCGTGACTGCGGGGCCCCTGCGCTCGCGCGCGCCGGGCACTCCCCTGCCGCAGATCCGCTCCCGCCGCGCGAGGGCGCCCGGGGCCGCCACCCCTCCTAGCCCCGGCCTGGGCGCGCCCGCGGAGGCCGCAGTGGGAGGGGCCGTCCCAGGCTCCCCGCGCCCTGCACCTCGGGCCCCGCCGCTTCCGCCCGCCCTGAGGCCGCTCAGGGAGCCGGGACGCGCTACCTGGGCTCTGCGCAGCCGGTAAGTCCCTCTTGCTATCCTCCCGCTTCCTCCGGGGGAAACTGAGGCCCAGAGGTGCGCCTTGCCCCGAGATCCCACCGCCAGTCCGGGGTGCAGCCCACACGGGGAGGGGAGAGCCTTGGTTCTGGGGAGGGCTCACTGTGGAGGGGGAGGGTGGTCTTTGTGGCCCCTTACTTTTCATCACCCAGACCCCTGCTCCTCAAGCCAGGCTCAGAGTCTGGTGGGCTTGTCAGAAGGTCAAGCTTCCTCCCTCTGTGTTTTGTTTTTTGTTTGTTTGTTTTTGAGACAGAGTCTCCCTCTGTCACCCAGGGTGGAGTGCAGTGGCCCCATCTTAGCTCACTGCAACCTCTGCTTCCCGGGTTCAAGCGATTCTCCTGCCTCAGCCTCCCGAGTAGCTGCGATTACAAGCGTGCACCACCACACCCGGCTAATTTTTGTATTTTTAGTAGAGACGGGGTTTCACTATATTGGCCAGGCTGGTCTCAAACTCCCGACCTCAGGAGATCCACCTGTCTTGGCCTCCCAAAGTGCTGAGATTAGGGGTGTGAGCCACCACACCTGGGCCCCCCTCCACGTGTTTTAAATTTCTGGTTCCGACTTCTTCCTGCTTCCTGGGCCAGCCCAGGCTCTGAGCTCAGAGAGCCGTCTCAGCACCTGGAAACACCCGGGACCCCGGACACTTGGTGCCCCAGAGGTCCAAATGCTAGAGCCAGTGGGGCCTGAGAGCCAGGGAAATGGGGTCAAAATGGGACCCAGCCTCCTCCCCAGCTGGTGCCCCGACCAGGGCTCACCCGCCTGCCTGCCCTTCAGGCTCTGCTGGCACGGGACGCCCTAGCTCACTGGGCGGCCACTTCCCTTCCCTCCCCTTTCTCCCTGCAGGCTGGGGTCACGAGGAGGGTGTGGATGGCAAGTGACTTCATCCCTGCCCCGACAGATGGAGAAACTAAGGCTCAGAGAGGCCGTCAGCCTCCTCCCCTTCCCTCCACGGCCGCTCCCGGCGGCTCAGTCCCACCCCCTCCGCCGATGAGGCCATGAGGCGCCGACTGGACTGGGGTCAGGTCACCCCTTTCTGCCCCACCCCCAATCCGGAGGACTCCCTGCCGTCTGGGAGCCGAGGGAGCCCTGGGCCCAGGGTGCAGCTGGGGGCCTCTGCCAGGGACCCAACTCCTGACCCAGCCTCTGCTGGCCGCACCTTCTGCAGGGTCTCACAGAATCATGGACTGAGCCCACCCGGCCCCCACTGCACAGATGGGGAAACTGAGGCCTGAGAGAGTGGAGTGGCTGGCCTCAGGCCACACAGAAAGGTAGAAGCCGGGATGGTGGGGAGGGCAGGGAGGGGCCCCAGCCCTGGGAGTCACCTGTGTCCTATTTGTGAATGATGTCACCAATCATCAAGCATCGATTAAGCGCCTACTGTGTGCATTATAGCACAATACACAATCAATAATAACTTCAGTCTGGGGGCAGTGGTTCCTGCTTGTAATCCCAGCACTTTGGGAGGCCAAGGTGGGAGGATCATGAGGTCAGGAGTTGGAGACCAGCCTGGCCAAGATGGTGAAACCCCGTCTCTACTAAAACTACAAAAATTAGCCAGGCCTGGTGGTGGGCACCTGTAATCCCAGCTCCCGGCAGGGTGAGGCAGGAGGATTACTTGAACCCGGGAGGGTTGCAGTGAGCCAAGATTGCACCACTGCACTCCAGCGTGGGTGACAGAGTGAGTGTCCGTCTCAAAAAGAAATAACAGTAATAATTTTAGATGACAGTTGAGTTCTTCTTCTCCATCCGGTGTTCCATACCTCCTGTCTTCTTTACCTGATCCACAGAACCCCTCAACTTTCCCACAAGGGGGGCCTCTGTTACCCCATTTTTCAGAGAGGAGAGGTAGGGCTCAGAGAGGTTTGTTACTGACCCGGATCACACAGCCAGTCAAGGCAGAGCCGGGACACAACGCCGTGTCTCTGGCGGTGGCTGCCTGGACCCGGCCCCTCTGCTCCCCAGGCCCCGCCTCTTCCAGAACCTCCTGCTCTTCCTGTGGGCCCTGCTGAACTGTGCTTTGGGGCTCAGTGCTCAGGTAAGGGGGGGCATGAGCCCGGGGGGTGGTGAGTGAGAATGAGGACCCAGCCGCAGTGTGGGGTCACCAGCATCCCCCCGCCAGGCTGACCGTGCCTCTGTCTCCCCAAGTAGGGTCCGGGCGAGTGGACCCTGTGGGTGTCCTGGACCCGCTGCTCCAGCTCCTGTGGGCGGGGCGTATCTGTGCGCAGCCGGCGGTGCCTTCGGTGAGCAGGCCGGGAGGGGGTCCCTGCACCCCCCTCCCTGCCCAGCCCGGCCCCTGGCCGCACCCTCGGCCTGCCCACACATGCTGTGCCCTTTAATCCTGCTGATCCCGCTGGAATGCGGGCGGGGTTGGCGGGGGTGGAGGGTGGAAGGCCAGCCCCGGGAGGGGGTCCCTGGGGGTTCTCTCCACACTGTGGCTCCCTGCAGGCTTCCTGGGGAAGAGCCATGCTGGGGAGACTCCCACGAGTACCGCCTCTGCCAGCTGCCAGTAAGCCCTGCCCACCTCCCAAACGCCCTCCCCACCCCAGGCTGCCCAGAAGCCCACACCTGTCCCTGGGGTTGTCCCAGCCTCTGGCTCTCCTATCTCTGCCCCCAGGACTGTCCCCCAGGGGCTGTGCCCTTCCGAGACCTACAGTGTGCCCTGTACAATGGCCGTCCTGTCCTGGGCACACAGAAAACCTACCAGTGGGTGCCCTTCTATGGGGGTGAGTAGCCTGGTCTCCTGTGGTCAGGATTGGGCCAGAGGGAACAACTCATTACTCCCAGGGAGAGGGACTTGGAGTGTTGCAAAGAGAAGAGGGTATTAGCACTAGGGCTTTGAAGAATATGTAGGAGTTGGTGAAAAGAAACAGAAACAGCATATGTTAGGGTGGAACACGGGCAGAGGGAAGCAGGGTCCATTCTCCACAGGGCTGAACACCGGACTGAGGATTTACTTAGAGTTGTATCCAGAGGCCAGCAGTTCTCAAACTTATCCCAGTAGCAGGAAATGTTGCTGCATTGAGCTGAAAATAGCCAGTTATATAACTGTGTGCCTGGGGCAGTGCGTCTCCAGATTTCAGGGAGACAGGCAGCTTCACACGCCATGGGGAAGGCAGTCACAGATACAAGAAAAGCCTAGAACAGAGAAAGTGCCATCCTTCCACCTCATTTCCTTCCCTCTCTTCCTTCCCTCCTTCCCTCCTCCCTCCCTCCCTCCTTCCTCCTTCCCTCTCTCCCTCCCTCCCTCCTTCCCTCCTTCCCTTCTTCCTTCCCTGCCTCCCTCCCTCCCTCCTTCCTTCCTTCCTTCCTTCCTTCTTGCTCTGAGAATTGGAGGAAACTTGCTGGGTCCGGCCCCACAGAGGCCCACTAAGGCAAGTCCAGGGTCTGTTCCAGGCAGGGTCTACCACACAGGCTCAGGGAAATGGGAGCCAGAAGAAGCTGGAGCTGGAGGAGTAGGGGTCAGGGCTGTCAGCCTGAGTGTGTGATCAGACAGCCCATTTTGCCCCACTTCCAGATAGAAGGGGAAACTGAGGCCCAGGGAGGACCAGCGACACACCTCAGTTGCATGAGACTCAGTCAGTATACTGGACAAACACATCATTGGGCACTTGCTGGTTGCTTGGGTGAGGTGCTAAGATTTTTTTTTTTTGGAGATGGAGTCTTGCTCTGTTACCCAGGCTGGAGTGCAGTGGCACCATCTTGGCTCACTGCAGCCTCCACCTCCCTGGTTCAAGCGATTCTCCTGCCTCAGCCTCCTGAGTAGCTGGGACCACAGTCACATGCCACCACACCTGGCTAATTTTTTGTATTTTTGGTAAAGACGGGGTCTCGCCATGTTGCCAAGGCTGCTCTTGAACTCCTGGGATTAGGAGATCTGCCCACCTCAGCCTCCCAACATGCTGGGATTACAGGTGTAAGCCACCGCACCTGGCCACCTTTAAGGCTACCCATCTGCACACTGATTGAGTTCTTGCTTCCGTATTCTAGAGCTTAGAACAGTATCTGGAAAACAGGTGTTCAGTGGAATCAAGTATGAGTAATGGTGTTAATAATGAATACTATGTAAGGACTCCTAATATAAAGACTACGAATGAATGAATGCAGCCCCAGGATACTTGCCTGGGAGTCCTAGGTTGCTGGAGGCAGAGCACCTATGGTCCAGTCCTGGCTCTGCCTCAGCCTCGGTATGTGGCCTTGGCTGAATCTCTGGGCTTCATCTGCCCAAGGCGATGGTTGCCTGACAGACCTTGGTATAGGGAGACTGGAACTTGAATAGGAGTCCCAGGCCCACTGACTCCTCCCGCCCTCAGCACCCAGCCAGTGTGACCTCAACTGCCTGGCAGAAGGGCACGCCTTCTACCACAGCTTTGGCCGCGTCCTGGATGGCACCGCCTGCAGCCCGGGTGCCCATGGGGTCTGCGTGGCTGGCCGCTGCCTGGTAAGGACTCGCCGGGCCCAGTCTGAGCCCTGCCTACCTCCCATTCAGGCTCCACCCACAGCCTCCTCCCTAGGCTCCACCCATCACCAGGCTCCACCCACACAGGCCCCACCTATCCATAGGCTCCCCTTCCAGGCCCCGCCCATCACTAGGCCCCGCCCCCAGCCACCTTTAGGCCCCACCCCTTGGACACCATGCCCATCTCCATCCAGGCCCCGCTCCTCCCTAGGCTCCGCCCCCATCTTCCCTCCAGGCCTCGTCCTTTTACTCCCACACTCTGCCCTTTCCCCAGGTCCTGCCCCTCCCAGCGCCAGTCACGCCGCGCCTGTCCTTCACCCTTTAGAGCGCCGGCTGTGATGGGTTGCTGGGCTCCGGCGCCCTCGAGGACCGCTGCGGCCGCTGCGGAGGCGCCAATGACTCGTGCCTATTCGTGCAGCGCGTGTTTCGCGACGCCGGTGACTGCCCGCCCCGTCCTCCCTGCACACACGTCAGAGCGGGCCCTTTAACAAGCCGTGGCCCAGAAGCAAATTTCCGTGCTGATTGGCTAGCGTATGGCCCAGCCCCCCTTTCTCTTCATCCTGATTGGCTAGTGACAGATTGTCCCACCCTCCCAAGAACAGATGGGGTTTTAACGCTTTCCCTGCCGCACCGAAGCGATAGTAACTGTAACTCTTAACGTCTACGGAGGGTTTTCGGTTCCCAGGACCCTGGCTAGCTGTCTTACCCGCAGGAGCTCATTTAATCCTCGAGTCATCGCTCAAATACACCCCCACTGGCACCCCAACACCCTCTTACCCTCCCCGCCAGGTGCCTTCGCTGGGTACTGGAACGTGACCCTGATCCCCGAGGGCGCCAGACACATCCGCGTGGCGCACCGGAGCCGCAACCACCTGGGTATCCTCGGGTGTGATGTGGGAGGCACCTGGCCGGCCGGGGGGTGTCCCCGTTTACAGATGGGGAGACTGAGGCCTGAGGAGGGGACCCCAGGGTCTGGGAGACGAGACAGGCTCCTGAGGGCTGACTGTTCCCTTGCAGCACTGATGGGGGGTGATGGGCGCTACGTCCTCAACGGGGACTGGGCAGTCAGCCCGCCAGGGACCTACGAGGCGGCCGGCACGCATGTGGTCTACACCCACGACCCAGGGCCCGAGGAGACGTTGCGCGCAGCCGGGCCCACCTCCGACGACCTGCTCCTGCAGGTGCCACCTGGCCTCCAAGAGGGTCAGAGGGGGGCTGGTGAGAGAGGGGGTCAGAGGGGGTGTAGTAGGGGACAAGGTCAGAGAGGTGAGGCTGATGACAGAGGGTGTCGGCTGGGGACAAAGCATCAGCAGTGAGAGGCTGGGGACAGGGTCGGCTGGGAATAGAGGGTCAGACGGGAGGCTGGGGACAAGGTCAAACGGGGTCGGCCGGAGACAGAGCATCAGAGGGGGAAGGCTGGTGACAGGTTCGGAGAAGGGAGGTTGGGAACAGGGTCAGAAGGGGGAGGTTGGGAACAGGGTCAGAGGGGGGAGGCCAGGGACAGGGTGGGGGGGAGGCTGGGGACAGTGTCAGAGGAAGGACGTTAGGAACAGGGTCAGAGGGGAGAGGCTAGAGACAGGATCAGAGGCAGGGAGGCTGGGGACAGGGTCAGAGGAGGGAAACTGGGGACAGGGTCAGATGGGGAAGGCTGTGGACAGGGTCAGAGGAGGGAGGCTGGGGACAGGGTCAGAGTGGGGAGGCTGGGATCAGAGCATCAGAGGGAGGAGGCAACCCCAGCCTCTGGAGCAGTTCCCTGTGTGCCTCCCCCTCTCCAGGTCCTCCTGCAGGAGCCCAACCCAGGCATCGAGTTTGAGTTCTGGCTCCCCCGGGAACGCTACAGCCCCTTCCAGGCTCGGGCGCAGGCCCTGGGCTGGCCCCTGAGGCAGCCACAGACCCGGGAGGTGGAGCCCCAGCCCCCCGCAGCCCCCACAGTTTCCCCTGCACAGACCCCACCCCTGGCCCCAGGTGAGGTGGGGACAGCCAGGGTGGGGGACGAGTGGGGGCTGAGGTCTGTGCCCCTCACAGCACTGCCCACCCCACAGACCCCTGCCCACCCTGTCCCGACACCCGAGGCCGCGCCCACCGACTGCTTCACTATTGCGCCAGTGACTTTGGTGAGACCCCCGGGGCTCTCCCCTCACTTAGCCCCCTACTGACCTGGCTTCCTCCTGATCTCTGCCCCTCACCTGACTTTACCCTTGACCCTTTCTCCTGACCCTCATTTGACCCTTATGTGACCCCTGACCCCTCATTGATACCTGACGTGAGCCTGACTCCAGTCACTGTAGATCCCGAGGTCCCACCTGACCCTCAGCCCCTCTTCTGGCAACGGGGGCGTGGAGACTTGCGCAGAGCAGAGCCTGCAGCCAGCTCAGCGCCCACCCTGCCCACAGCGTTCCAGGCCCGCGTGCTGGGCCGCCACCGCCAGGCCCAGGAGACCCGCTATGAGGTGCGTATCCAGCTCATCTACAAGAACCGCACGCCACTGCGGGCCCACGAGTACGTGTGGGCGCTGGGCCACTGCCCCTGCCCACTGCTGGCACCCCACCGGGACTACCTGCTGGCTGTCCAGCGCCTCGTCAGCCCCGACGGCACACAGGACCGCCTGCTGCTGCCCCACGCCGGCTATGCCCGGCCCTGGAGCCCTGCCGAGGACAGCCGCGTACGCCTGACTGCCCTGCGCTGTCCTGTCTGATCCCCCAGGAACCCTGGCCACACACAGCAAGAAACATACATCTGACCAGGTTCAAAGTCAACCTATTTCCCCTCTCACCCTGGCTTCCAGGCAGCTCTGAAATGTGTCCCACCTGCAGCTCTGTGACTCCCTCTCACACACAGACACCTCTGCATGCAGCCACATTCACCGCCACAAGCCGGCAGGCAATGGTGGGAAAACACTGAGGTGGCGCTGACTTATTTCACCTCTCTCCCTGGCTGCCAGGAAGCTCATAGCTATTTATACTCAGTAAGTTGTTTGTTTTTTTTGTTTTGCTTTTTAAATATGGAACGCTTCACGAATTTGGGTGTCATCCTTGTGCAGGGGCCACCCATGCTCATCTTCTCTGTAGCGCTCCAGTTTTCATATATGCACTGCCGAAGCGAGAACTAGACTCTGAAAGTTTAAGTCTGCGTTCATTCTCTGCATCACACTCTCTTGCTTGAGACACTGCCATGAACAAGCCTGAGAGCCGGCTGCCCTGGGCACCAGCAAGCTCGTCTGTTTACTTCCCTGACGCTGCTGTGTCTCCTCTCTGCTACTCACACACACCCTCATGTGTGAAGGGCAGAGACACTGTCACAAGCAGGCACGCCTCTTAGAAGACATGCCTACCAGGCACTGTAACATACCAATTTCCCCTTTTTCCTGCCTACCAGGAAACACAGAGACAGTCTTTTCAGCCTGGGCATTTCTGGCTGGATTTCTCCCCATCAGCATGTGTTCACCGCCTCCTCTTTTTTTCTGTTTTTTTGATGAAGTCTTGCTCTGTCCCCCAGGCTGGAGTGCAGTGGTGGTGATCTCGGCTCACTGCAACCTCCACCTCCCGGGTTCAAGCAGTTCCCCTTCTTAGGCTGCCAAGTAGCTGGGATTACACGTGCATGGCACCATGCCCAGCTATTTTTTTGTTTTTGTTTTTTTTTTTTTGAGATGGAGTTTCACT